TTGTGGTTGCAAATCACATATGAAATCATGTTTGGATACAGGCCAGAGTAAGAGAAATGTCCATACCTCAGGCTCTTCCCTGCATCTGCAAGCTTAATGCTTGCTTTTCAGTTGCTCTAAAACATAAATGCATTAGCTGCATTATGTTAGTAAGTTTTTATGTACATAGGATGTGGTTTGAAATGTCTTTGAAAGCCATACTTGAATTTCCTATATTTTATAATGATTGTGTTTTCAACCAGTTAAAAAAAAAAACCAAATAACTTGATCATTTCCAGTTGCATCTATGAGGTATGAACTGCCCTGATTATTTATGCTGCTTAATTTCTCTAGCTTCTGCAAGGGTTTTTCAAGTTAGCAGGGAGAATACAAAATCATTCAGGAAGTCTTACTGACTGTGTGGCAATTTTCATTGTTATAGCAAAGATTTCTTAAAGTTAAATAAAATGCATTAAAACAATACTTTATAAATGGTAGTCTTGATGAATGCCAGGAATCAGTTTCTTTTCATGTATGCTTTTCAAAAGCAGGTTGTCCTGGTTATCATAGAATCATAGGATAGTTAGGGTTGGAAAGGACCTTAAGATCATCCAGTTCCAACCCCCTGCCATGAGCAGGGACATCTCACACTAAACCATGTCAACTAAGGCTTTGTTCAACCTGGCCATGAACACCACCAGGGATGGAGAATTCACAACTTCCCTGGGCAACCCATTCCAGTGCCTCACCACCTTCACGGTAAAGAACTTCCTCCTTATATCCAATCTAAACTTCCCTTTTTTAAGTTTTAACCCCTTGTTTAAGTTTTATCCAATCTAAACTTCCCTTGTTTAAGTTTCAACCCCTGGGTTGACTGATACTGCTAAACCCAGGACAACCCCCTAGTAGCTTTAAGAAACAGGAGACACACACCCCAACAAAATAATTTAGCTGAAGTTAAAGTCACAGTATAACTCAGGACATTTTCTTTTCTGTAGTGAAATGACTTCAGCTGGGTTGTGTTGAGTAACTTGGAGTCAGTCAGATGAGGCTGTACTGAAAAACTTACCCCAAATATTTTTGTGCATTCCAGATTGATGTTTTGGTCTAATATGCTCCTGTTTTCATCCCTTTATAGATGCTGGAGTTCATATGCATGTGGAAAAAATTAGTATGCTTAATGTGTTAATAGTCAAATATTATGGCTATGAATAAAAGACATAATTTCATTTAAAAGCAAAATCAAAGGTCTTCTCTTGTGGAAAACAGCACAAATTCCATACATCAAAGCTACTGAAAACAATAGGCTGGATGACTCCAAGAATATCATTCCTGCGCGAAGCTGTGCACACAGAAACATCTAAAGGTCAATGGTCTTTCATGGAGAATCCTGCTGCTCTGTTCCTGGTTTGGGATGGTCACTGGAAAAAGAGGGGCTAAGGAATGCTTTCCATTAATTTTCAGTCAAGTACTGGAGCAAAATTCTTGATTTTTTCTTACCAAGTTAAAAGAAAATAAGGTCTTTATGTGATTTGGTATGTTTGTGAAGTTCCAGCTTCAAGTCTAGTTCACTTTAAGGGAAAGCAACTTAGGTGTTCTCCTACTAGTTTATATAAATAACAGTAAAAAGTAAAATCCTGGATACCATTGAACTGATGGTAAAGATCCTAATGATTTCAGCTAACGTATTGCAAGGCTTGACCACGCTGAGAAAAGACAGCATGTTGTTAACAATGCATTGCACAGTTTTCATCAAAGGTATCTATACTCCGTATCATAGGGCTCTTGCTTAATCTTAAAGCTCAATCTTCCTTTCATTGAAACTTCTGGTTAAATTGAGCATTTCATAATATTGGCCTGTTAATCTGATGCGTTCATAGACAATACAAATAATTCATCCTTGAAAAATAAAGAGCAGTCAGGCGTGTTTATCTGAGACCCATAGAACATTTTTGAGTCTATTATTAGGCTTCAGTTTCTCTAGAAACAGAGATAATACATACAAATACATGCAGGCAGATTTTCCAGCCTGTAAATACTCGTCTTGCAGTCTAAGACACCCTCCCTGAAATCCACAGGCAGCCCAAGAATATGCCAGTTTTATAGTCAATTAGTAACATTTCAGCCTGAATAAAACCAAACCCACTTCTCGTACATAGACTGCCAGGTGTAAGTCACTGCAGGTCACTTTGGACAGGGAGCTGGCAGGTTCACAAATGGTGCATGAAAACAGGTCTCCATGCTGGAGAGAGCAATGGAGCAGTGATGTGCTGGCTGTCCCCAGGGCAGCTCCACAGCCATTGCTTCTGTTCAATAGCAGAGAACAGGGTGTGAAAAACAATGTGGAAGAGACAGAGCTTTAGGGGATCCATTGCAGATGGATCTGCCTGTTCTCTTTGTTTCTACTCTTATTGACTCCTAGCAATACCTATAGGTCACTCCTCAGCCTTGTTAGGCAGAGTATAAAGATGGCATTAAATGATATTTTATGAGCCGAGTATATAAAAGCAGCTTGTTTTTCTTGCTTGGTGCAAGTACTTCTGAATAGCTTTTGCGTGCCTGGGAATGCTACACTCTTCACAGAGCAAAATACACCAAAGTGCAAAAGTGTTTGCGGGATTACACCATGAGATTGATTTCCAAACCTGTCTTGAGGTTCTTGTTAAAGAAAGGCAGGCGGTTCCCAGCTATGCAATATATTCCCAGTAGAGATCTGTCAGAGCCTGAAACTTCTTCCACTTGGAGTATGATGAAAGATGAAACACTCTCTAAGGAAATGCAATTAAAACAATCAGCCAATGAAACAAAAATCCAACAAATTATTCCTTCTTCTGGCTTCCCTTATACATCCTGTCTCTTCTCTGTTTTGGATAATTAGATTGAAAGCTCTTCAAAATGAGGAACTGTCTACATTTTGTCTCCTGTGTAAGGCTAAGATCATTGTTGGTGCTTTAGAAGATACTTAAATGTTTAGCATTTATCTTCACTGGCTCTGATGGAGACAGTTGGCCCTGGATTTATGCGACAATTCTCCTACGGATGAGCAAAGAAATACCAGGGTGAAATGGCAACACATAACATTTTTCCTGAGGGATTTTAGGTTATTATGTGCTAAGGAGGAACATATGAAATACCATACATTTTTGCCAGTTTGTACATAGCAATGCAAAACTACACCTGACAGACACAGCCAGGATGAGATTCTCAGGTACATATCCTCACAACATTTTGGTGAGTGATTAAACATATATATGTAAGTGACACACAAGCATAGAGCACAGGATTGGGCTCTTTACAAGCAGTCTTCCAGTACCTAAAGAGGCCTACAAGAAAACTAGAAAGGGATTTATTATAAGGGCAAGTAGAGGTAGCACAAGGGGTAATGGCTTCAGGGGTTTTAGATGGGATCTTAGGCAGAAGCTCTTCCCTGGGAGGGTGCTGAGGCGCTGGCACAGGGTGCCCAGAGAAGCTGTGGCTGCCCCATCCCTGGCAGTGTTCAAGGCCAGGTTGGACACAGGGGCTTGGAGCAAGCTGCTCTAGTGGAAGGGGTCCCTGCCTGTGGCAGGGGTTGGAGCTGGATGAGCTTTAAGGTCCCTTCCAACACGAACCAGGCTGGGATTGTGTGGTGTTATCCTATGAATTCTCCAGCAACTGCAGCACAAAAGAGATTTCAATCCCAGCTGTCAGGCAGGCAGTGAGAAGGGATGGATAGGGAGGGGTGGCCTGGGGATTGGAAATGTGGCCTGGGATCCATTGCTGGTGTTCAGCTTCTGTCTCTGTCACAGCCTGTTGTGCAAGTTACAATAATCCTCCCACATTTAACTGCAGAAAAAAATCTGTCCTCTATCCAAGCCCAGAAGTGGTAAAGACAGAGCAGTGCAAATCCTAGTCTAACCTAACCAGTACCTGATCTAAATAGTAAGTATGATGCTGCTTTCCACCTCTGCCCCACACAGACTTCCTATTCCAGCTCATACTGATTTCAGTCACTAAATCCTGCCCTGTTGTCCCACTGAGGTGCTCCCAAAGTGTTTCTCTGTGGTTTTGTTCACCTCCTGTGAAACCCTGAGATGGGTCTTCCCCACCTCACCATGCTGTTTTGAGGATAAATATACTAAGCACTATGAATCATAGAATCATAGAATAGTTAGGGTTGGAAAGGACCTTAAGATCATTTAGTTCCAACCCCTATGAGGGACTTACTTAAATACTGTGGTACTGGGGTCATTTTAGAGCAGGGGATATTTTTCTGATAATCATGAAGCAGACTCTTTCCAACTTCTTGTCTTCCAAAACCAGAGCTCCAGGCTGGCTCCAGCTGCTGGAGTAACATCTGCTTTTCTTTCTTCAAAGCTTTGCACAATTTGGAGCTGAGGTGGCCCCTGTTTCATAATTGCCCTCTTTGTCCTTAGTCAAGCAAGAGCGTGGCTGTCCCCAGTCCCAGACCTCTGGACCAGATGCTGTTGTGCAACATGTACTTGAAGTTTCCAAAACAGATTTTAATTGGAAACATAACTTCATACAGTAGCTTGGAATGAGTACGGGGGAGAATAATCAAAACAAGAGATGAAAAAGTAAATGCCAAAAGGGAAGAAAAATAAAAGGCCATTTTACTGGCATTTTGTACTGAAAGGCACTAGGCAGGAAATACTGTGCATATCCATGAAAACTGGAAGCATGTAGCAAGCAGTAATAACTGAGACCCTCAAAAAGCCAGAACCTCACCTGGTGTAAATCAGTAGAATCATAGAACCATAGAATAGGTAGGGTTGGAAAGGACCATCCAGTTCCAACTCCCTGCCCTGGGCAGGGACACCTCACACTAAACCATGGCACCCAAGACAAGGGTATTCCTTCATTGATTTTGTAAGACCTGCCATTCCTCGTTGACTCCAGTGATGCTGTGCTCATTTGTACCAGCCGAGGACTCCAGCCAGTTTGGCACAATTGAAATCCAGAAACTTTGAATACTTGTTCTGTTTCTTTTTTAACTAAGTTTTAATCAATCTTTTGTTTTGTAGATTGCCCTCCACTTGGACTAGAGACATTAAAAATTACTGACTTCCAGCTCCATGCCTCTACAGCAAAGCGGTATGGCCTTGGGGCCCACAGAGGAAGGCTTAATATTCAGGTAACATCCATTTTTTTTCTCCTAAGTGGGAGAATGGCTTAAGGTTGTACTGTTGTATAAAGAGAACCAATGGATGATTATTGGTTCTGACTACTTTGTCAGCTCATGTAATTCAAATGAAGGGGAAACACTGGAATTATAGGAGTGAATAAGGTTGATGGATAACCTGCAGATTCATGGGGCTTAGTTAGAAAAACTCCAACCTCAGTGTGCCGAGGGTGCAAATCCAAACAGACCTCTATGAGCAAGCAAAGGTGAAGGCAGCCCAGAGCTGCTCCCTTAGCAATCAGCCTGGAAGGAAGCTTACACAGCAAATTGCTTTTTTCGTTGTTTGCTAATGACAGTGGTTAATTAGAAGTGTGGTTTCAAGTGAAGCACTTGCCCCAAGGCAGTTTTTCAAAGGCAGTGATTGTACTACCAAAAATTGCTTCAGTTCAGAAGTCACTAGCAAGCAATCTAGTTTAGCTCCTTTTATTTAATATGAAAGATGTGCTTAGCTGCTTTGCAGGACCAAATTCTATTTCCCCCATTTCTTGTTTCTGTTTTCCACTCTATTAGTGCTGTTTTCAGAATGACAGTCTTTTCCAATGAGAAAAAAAGCTACTTTGCATAGTAAAACACAACATTTAAGGCTCAGAGTCATAAACAGGATACTAACACCAAATCAACAACAAAAAAATCTCTAAAGCTTTCTTAATCTATTACTTACCTGTTATTAGACCCTCCATTAGACTGTTTTGTTCTCCAGCTGAAAGGGTTTGCTAGTTAATGAACTAGGGGAGTTAGGCTGGGACTAGGAAGGATGAGCTCTAATCAGTAGAACAATTTCACGTGGTGCCTACTGCCATGTAATGGGGGGCAGCTGCTGGAAGGTGGGACTACTGTTGGTTAAAATCCCATTATGCAAGTGTTTCCCTTTGCTTCAGCGTCTTCCAGTGTCTCCGCTATGTGAGTTTGTCTATGGGGAATGGGGAACCTCTTCTTTTCTTCACTGCCTGTTTTAATCAGTTAATGTTAGTCAGAAAGCTGTTTTGCTATGCAGTTGCATGAGAAACAGCCAGCTGGAGGACTTCATATGGAACTTCTTTTGAGATCTGTGCAAGGTAGTTTGTGTCTTTACTTCATATTGTTTGCTAGGAATTAAACCTCATGGACACAAATCATGGTATGCAAATGATATTCAGGTTGGCTCTATAGGAATGTTTAATTATATTATTATTGTTTTTTGTTATATAGTGGCATAAGACCAAGGGCAGTGATGTGAGTCTCTGATTGTGGTCCCTTATTTTTCATGCTGGTGTTAAAGTTCAATTTACTTAAAGACAAGAATGACCCTACTGGTTCAGATCAGGAGTCCATCTAGTTGTGTGTCATGTCATCACCAGTAATGCTGCATTAAAATAAAGATGGGTAAAAGTCTTAACCATGAATGGTGTTTCCCCCAAAGATAATCCAGAGCCTCCAGTGAAGCCAGGGGTACAGCGTTTTGCAAACTGGGTTTTTATACTCTTCTCCATTCAAAATTCATGGGTCTCTTTTTCCTGTGAACAAAGGCTTTGCAATGTCATGCTTCTGCTTCATATAGATTTTGCGTCGTCATTTTCCTGAGCTGTACAAATTCTGCATGGATTGATTCTCCTTATTATCCAAAAGCTGCTTTTGCTCTTTCCTGGTATAGGGACTTTTTCTGGTATAGTCCTGATCCCAGGACTGTGTGAGGCTCATCTACAATGAACCCAACCACCTGGCTTATAGTCAAGTGACTTCTCTGGCTTACTTTTTTTTGTTTAAATGTAGCCCTTTTTATTTGCTGTGTCTTTAATAAAGATACTTAGCAATGCTTGAGTCAAAACCTTTTACCCTTACTGAAAGCTTATCTGTATGCTATCCATACAGTAATTCCCCCAAGCCCCTTGACCACTTAGTGTTACGATGACTAGCAGTGTTAAAAGTATGGGCTTGCGTTTATTTCTCTTTAGATAGTATTTCCTTTGGGGTCAGGTTAAAATTAGTAGGTAAAATCTGTTCAAAGCCACTTTGAATTCGCAGATTTCTTCCCCGTCACTCGGAGTTTAGGGCTTAATTTTATTTTGTGTAAAGAGTTCTGAATTTCAGTCTCAAAATTTTTACATTTAGAATTTAAGTATTTAGAATTCTAGTGTTTAAAAAGATATATGCTTATAACTGAGAATAAGTGCTATGGAGGACTGATGCGTCAGGTGTGCAACCAGGTCCCTGGTGGCTTCTGTTTGTTTAGAAGGGTGGTTGCGGTGTGCTGGGCAAAGACAAAAGGCACTGGTATTTAGGCAGCTGTGTTTTCATGCTCTTTAATACTACACATGAAGTAAACACTCTGCCCAAGTCAGACTCGGAGAGGCTGATGTGCCTCTGAAGTTTCACCAGAGCGCTATGCTATGTGTCTGGTGATTAGCAGTTTTATGGGCTGGTGGCCTGCTCTGGGTATAACCACAGAGCCATCCCAGTATTCATATGTCTGGAAGAAACCATTGTGCTTCTTCCTGAAATAAGACAAAATCTGCTGTCTGCCCAGCATTATCATCTGCTGCAAAGTCAGCTGAGGAGCTTAGGGCTCACCCCAGGTAACTGGCACTACCCCAATGCACAGGGAATTTGTAGAATAATGAAATTTTTCAAAGGCCTTTGAGGGTTAGTTTTTTCTGATTAGACTATTTGAAGTGTATAGCATTAATCAGTCGGTTTACGCTTTATTCCAAAGAAGGACAAGCTTATCAGGGCTGGATAAGACCTTCTGGGAGCTGTACCTCTTGTGACCTCACGTTGTGTGGGACCTGATTTTGCTTCTGGTCCTGTGTGAGCGTGGTGATTAAGCTGGGAGCTCTGGCAGGCAGGAGCAATGAGATCCAGCCTGCAACTGCAGTAGTACCATGAGTAGTAATTTAACATCATGAGGAAAAATCATAGCATAGAATAATATTCATTGAGGCCCTCTGCCTTCAGGGATGAAAGTCATTAGTATTTGTCACTTACCCAGTAATTAGCAGTGGTTAAATCTGAAATAATTAGTAGAATGATATTTCTTCCCCTTCCTCATTTTCCTGATTGGAGAAATCCAACAGCAGTGAAGATTGAGCAAGTAATACAATTGTGTGTATGCAGATAAGCAGAATGTATTGCTTTTTGTCTTTTCTTTGTTTCATGAGTTCCTTCTGAAAAGCTCCATTCTCAAAACATAAGCAAAACACAATTACTGAAGTTACACTTCCAGCCTCCGTGCTTTACCTCTCCTCTACTGACAGTGCTTGCTATAAATACCTGTGATGAGTAATGCTTTTCTATTTCTTATTTTCCTTCTAAACTTCCTATGGTAAAATAATTTTTGTGATCATCCTTCTGGGAAGCAGGAGAAGAATTTAAACAGACGTGGTTTGATATTCTGTGTTCCTGCTGCTTCTCTAGCTGACTTATGGCAGCAGACTGAAATTGCTTTCTTCGTTTGAATACATTTAGGCAGTAACATCTTTGTGTTATAGAATAAGGCTTTTGGAACAGTGATAATGTGAGCAAGTGTTTGTTCTGTTTTGCACATATCTAACTCTAAAGAGGAACATGAATTAAAACCACAAGTCATCATTTGTAAGGGGATCATAACCTTTTGATTTCCCTTCATCTTAGCTTCTGGATACATAATAAGCAGTTGGTTTGTTTTACTTGATTTGTGATTTTCAACAGTCATATTTATAGAGAACTTTTTTAGGAGTGACATAAAAGAAGTCCCTTATTCTATATCAAAAAAAGGTATTTTTTCATACAATACTGCATATTCAGGAATGTTTTAGCATTTATGAAATCTGGGTTAATTTTGAGTTATTATTGAAAATTGAGTGATGGAAACAAGGGTTTGCTTAAGACTTAGTCCTTAATTTCATTTTTAATTAGCTACTGCACTCCTTATAAAGACAACTTAGGTGTTTAAAATGTATAGCTTGGGTGTGTCATAACTTCTAATTCATAAAATCATAATTTTGTCATAAATTTAATTATCCCTTTAATTCATTATATACAAATTATACAGATTATCATTTAATTCATATCTCCTTTAATTCAATATACAACTTTTAAATTCAAGTCACCATCTTACTGAGCCAAGGTATCTGGTTCTATATCCTTTGATTGAATATTTGATGATGGCCATTCTCATCTTTCAGGAATTAACGTTTTTCCCAAAGAAATTTAAATATCTACTAAATATTTGATTGCATTTATAAGGTGGGTTTTTTGTTTTAGAAACAGTATTTTGAAGTGGCTGTAGGGCAAATTCAAAACTTCAAGCACCTTAAGAAAAAATACAGACTGAAAGCTTGAAAAGAGAAGTTTTAACGTGTTTATTTCTATTCTTTTCCCTCAGAAATATTTCTAACAAGAACATCTCATTGATTAAAGTCCCCTTTTTCACATAGTGCTCTGTGCTAGTTATACACAGATACCTGCTTCTTTCTGCTTAGTAAAAATACTTTTTGCTTCAGAGAAGCTAATAGCAAGAAATAAGAAAGCAGGAACAAGAAGCAGCATTGTTTCTTTTCTTTAATGCTCTCTTTGCCACTTTTTAAGGCCATATTACTTTAAGATGTGCATAACTGTAAGCATGTTCTTTAGACTCCCCATATTTGATATGCAATTTAAACATATGCTTAAGGCCAATTGAAACCATGGAGATTTTAGTAAGTAAATTAGAATTGGGGTTTTTATTTTGCATATAAGCTTTTCTTTCTGTCCTCTGTTTCCCACCTCTCACAGTAACGTAGAGGAGAGGTTTACACCCTGATGATCATCACACCAATGGGAAATATCCTCAGTCTGAATGAGGGCCAAGGATCTCAGCTGATGCAGTGAGAGATGCAGGTGCTTGGTGCAGAGAAATTGGTCGAATTTCATCACTGTGAATGGGATTAGCATAACGCTGGTTCAAGGTGCTCTGCAGATCTTAATGCTTCCTGGCAAGCACTGGTTTTAAACCCGAAGGCTACTTCAAATTTCATCTTATTCTAAAATGCATTGAAACTTTTCCTTGTGAAAAGTTATTACTCAGGTCAGTGATCACATTTGTATTCTCCTGTTTTCCTGTTGTTCAGTTCTCCTTGAAAAATGTAACTTCCATTGTTAATAGAGGTTTTTCCCTTTATCTCCAACCCTTAGGCAAACTCCATTTTAAAATATCGAGTTAATACATAAAAGTAGGTGGCTTAAGGTAATTTTGGAATTTAGGAAAACAAGTTGTTTTAAGCTGCTCTTACTCAGATTTGAGTACCTGAGAAAATAAGAAGTTTTAGGAATTGAATCTGTGTCTGTTTTGCAGCACTTCCTTCAGATGCCACCAGGCTTGTAGTTAATCTCTCTTCCCACTGCATCTTCACTTTGAGTTAGACCCACACAATGCCCATTTTGATGGAAATGGTCATTAAAAATGTCAGATCGCTGCCATTGTAACCCAGCTATGACTGTAACATCTGCTAATGCTGCTCAGAGGGAAGCTGAGGCATAATTCAGGGAAATTTAATTGACGCTTGTGCTCTTGGATACTTCATTTATGTTTTAAATATACACACACACCAGCTGAAAGTTTACCACTGAATAGGCAGTAGCTTTATATCAGAGCTTTAAGATACGTCTCTAATATAACAAAGTTTTCCAGACCCTTCATTTATATCTGGGACATATTTAAGGATATGTTTTCTTAGAATTCCATGGATGGCAACAATAAATCCATATTCAACACAAATGGGTTATCATAAAACTGCATGTAGCCTCAGAGAACCATATGGAAAAGCTTCTGTGCTCTCTATGGCAGTAGCTGCTTGGTGCCAAAAATTTCCTGGGCTTTAGTAATAAGGTAAATATCTAAAGACTTCAGATGCGATGTTTCCTTAAATATTTCAGCTGTATTTGGAATACAGTTTACTCAAAATACCTTGCAGCTATTTCTCTGAAAATATTGAGAGGGCTTTTTGAGCTGGTTTTGCCAGAAGAAATTGGCATAAAGACTGATGTACAAGTTGAAGGACAGCTGGGCACTCCTGAATTTTTAACCTTTGACACCCTTGTGATGAAAATTAATAAATCTGGGACTAAAAATTGATGGGAAATAGTAATATTATCTCCATATGCCCTACTCTCTCCTTTGCCAAGGGAAATGACATTGTTCCAGCACTGACCATTATTTACATGGATTGGAGCTGACTTCTTAGGACTTTCATAACTGTGAAGACCATGGGGATCCTTTCTTCTGGATAAAGGCTCTCTCAGGCCACAGACTGGTAGAGTGAACTGAAGCCCTATTTATGCTTTCTAACCCTAACTTGAATTTATATGTAATGGTTCTTAGTTTTCAAAAGGACTTTGCAGAATTTCCCTCCCTGCTTTGAGTACGGAAATATTTTGGTGAGAATGACTGTCCCAGGGGTCTTAAAAGTGGTGCCAGAGGAGGAAGTGGAATGAGTGATGACTTTGTGTGTTATTCTCGTTTTTCCCATGAAAGACCTTTGGTTTCTTGGTTCTGATTTATAAAGACAGTTTTCTCCTTCTTTTCAGGCAGGTGTTAACGAAAATGATTTTTATGATGGTGCTTGGTGTGCAGGAAGAAATGACCCATATCAGTGGATTGAAGTAGATGCTCGAAGGCTAACAAAATTCACTGGAGTCATCACACAGGGGAGAAACTCCCTCTGGTCGTAAGTACAGGCTTACTTTTCTCCATGAGTTTCTGAGCTTTCAGACCAAGGAATTCATGCTGTGTTGTGTGTTGTTTCTTCAAGGGGGGGAAAAAGAAAGAATGGAAATGCTGTGTGGCATCAAATAATTGCATAGAGAAACAGTAAAAGGCAAAGTGATTATATGATTATATATGGCCTAAAATACATGTTTATAGGAAGAGAACTTCTATAGGCATTATTTATACCTGGCAAAGGAATCAACATGATTCCGTCAGATCGTGCCTTTGTGTTCACCTTTCAAATTTGACTTAAAGGTCCTAATTCTTTCCCAGTATTTAAATTGGTTAGTTTAGATACTAGGTTTGTTAGATATTGGTTTAGAATAACCACTCATCTTTGAGATTGCCCAATGCATAGGCAACCAACAAATCATTGGTAAAATGTCAAAATAATGTGGTTTCTAAATGAGCTGTTACCAAATTTTATAGCTGAATTGCTTTTGTTCTAAAGAAGAACTTCTAATATAACCAAAACCCTGCAGTGTGTGTGGATGAGGACTGCAGTGTTTGGTAGCAGGCACGTTGTGCTGTGCTTATGAATGCAAGCAAGACTCCATGCAGTTCAAGCCAGCTTTCCAAAAAGCTTTGAGGAAGGAACGCTTGCTATGAGAGCTGCCTTGCTGCATTGGTCTGAGGAGGAAGTGCAGGCACACCTAGCTCAGGACCTTAGCTTTGTACTGAAAGTGCTGCCCACTTCCAACACTGAAAACATTTGTGACCTTTCTGGTTACTGCTTGCGTGACAGGATGAGTATATGGCACTGGGAAATGACTTGTGAGCAGGCTTGGTTGCATTCACTCTTTTGGGACCAGCTTCTGAGTGTAGGTGAACATATCACTCTATAACCCAGCCAAGTGTGAATGAGGTGAGAATTGTCTATGAGGAATAGAGCAGTCGGCTAGCCTAAACGGGAACTGAAGGCAAGGGTTTGTTTTGTTCCTGATCTTTACAGTGCTTGTTCAGTACCTTAATTTCTTGTGGAGTCTCATTGCCTTATGTAAGCAAATACTCCCACTTGCACTACTAGACCTTTTGACCAAGTATTCGGGAGATGCACAGGCTTGGATCCATTCTGGTCAGAAATCTCCCTTAAGAAAAGGAATGTGCCATAGAACAAAAGGTAAACCAGAAAAATACAAGCATATTTAAAAAACAAAAAAGGTAGTCTTTATTTTTCTTCTATCATTTAATTTTCTGGAGCTTTTCATCTCTTTGAGCACCGCTGTGGGAGTAGGAGCCTTTTTGGCAATAAAATTTCTATATTTATTCCACATTGTTCTGTGTTAGGTAGATAATTACTGTAGAAAAGTCTTATTCTTTTCTATATTCATACTCTTGACATTGCTGTTTCTCAACACCAGTGCTGCATGGCTTCATCTTGTCATATTGCTATTTTCAGTTCAGCTCTACTGCAGGTATACAGCAGCACTTGATGCTCTATTTATAGTTGACATTCACAGTCATCTTCAGTTTGTTTGGTTTTTAAACTACTAAGTCTTGCTTTTGCCCTCTTTCCCCCACAAAGAGCTGGTGGGCAGGGCCCTAAAGGTCTACAGAAAGAGCAGGGCTGATGCTGGGAGAGGAGGCCCAGGCTCCTTCTGGGTCTTTACTCAGATGTATGGAGAAACAGGCACGTTGCTGCCTCATAGGAGCAAAGATGGTTTCAACTGGATCAGCTTTGCTAATGTCTCCTGGTAAATACATCTTGTAAGACTAATATCTGACCTATAGAAGGGCCAGAGGTGTGGGAAAATATAGTCCCAGGAGGTGGTGTCCTCTTTCCCTATCTCCAGCTTGCATACAATGAACTGTCGAGGAGGTGGCTTTTCTTGTCAGCGTGTGATGGCCTCCGTCCTACTTGCCATCTCTTGATACAGCTTTGGCTGTGGGACTGGCTTTCCTGGAGTCCACCTCCAGAAATCTCTCCCCTCATCAGATTGAACAGATAAAACCAATGTGTTTGACGTTTGTGTGCTCTGCTTCTCATGTGTAACTTCTTGGATATTTCTAAAAGCAAGTTGGTACTCCTCAAAGTGCTTTAGAAAGAGTTTAGGCTGATGTATGCAATCCTGTTCTGGGCCAAGGTGGGTGTCCTAGGGTTTCCAGAGTCTGAGCACCTGGGAACATCATACCCAGGAAGATGGCAGATGCTGCTTTCTGAATTCTTCATGTCATTGCATCTGAAAGATGATCTCAGTATGACTTTCTACCCCAATTCCTCAGTCAAGAAAGGAAAGAACCATGAAATCCTGGTGTGGAGGAGAGCTACGCAAAGCAAAACTGAATCCAAAGAACAGCAGAAACCCTGAGCTTGGAGTAGAATCTGTCTTAGGCTGAGTTTCAGAGGCACTGATAGATGTTTTGGTGCTTGTGGGAAACTCAGGAGATGATGACCTGACTGTAATCACAGGGGTTGCATGCAGTGAATTGGCTTTAGAAGCCAGCTCCGCATAAACACATCAATAGTACTTTTATTGGTGTGGTGGGTTCTTTTGAGACTGTTTTGCTATAATAGGCATTAGAAACAAAGCAGATACATTATCCTTCTCTTACACTTAGCTACTGACAGTGATAGTATCATAAAAGATCTGTATAGGATATGAAAGTTTGCACAAGAAGATGCCATTCTGTTACCTGAGGCACTTTCCCAACTTGATGAAATTGTGACAATAATATAGTGCTTTCATAACTAATATAATCGTATGTTGGAGAATAAGCTGTTTCAGGCACGAGTGCCAAAAAACCACCCCTCTGATCTGTGTTGTATTAGAAGCAAAAGCCTGCCATGATAAGATTTTTATTTAAGCCTTGGAGACTTTCCCACTGTTATATTAAAAATAAAAATCAAGACAGTAGGGTGTATGCAAAGTTCACCAAAGCTATTGTGTGAGAGGGATAAAGAACCAGAAAAGCAACCTTTTTTCCCCTCCTCTTTTTGAAGATTCTTGTTCAACAACAAAGTGGAACAATGTACTTAACCAAAAGTCCCCCCCCCGAGCTTCTGCCTTGATCAGTTTTGAACCTGTCCTGGTCCCTTTAGCTTCCTCCTTTTGACTTAATGAGGACATGTAAAATGAGCATTGGGAGGGCAGACAAGAAGACCCTGCTGAATCCTGCATCAAATAGCTTTGCCCCTCACTGTAGGGTTGCACCATTTGAGTTATTAACAGTCTGGCCTTTGATTCTGCTTGTATGTCTGAAGCTATAGCCAGAGCTAGTATACTGGTGGTGGAAGCAACCCTTTGCTCCTTTACAGCAGCACTGGCAACTGTAGTCTGGTTTTGCTGATGCCCTACTCTGTTGAAAGATAGTCTATTCACATCCAGCCTTGCTTGTTGGGGCTTTTTTGAGCTTCATAGGCAATGATAAGTTGAAGATTAATCTTGACACAATGCAAACAACACACAAATGTGCGGGGTTGTCACTTTGTGCTGGCAGGAATTGTTTCACCTCGAATATTTCTCTCCTAATCTCATGGGAAGTTGCTGTTTCTTGTCTGTCTTCTGCTGTGTGTTGTGGCTCTGCTTCATAGTCCAGGGCTCTTTGGCTTGAGGCATGAGAGCCTTGAGGAGGAAGAGGCTTAGGTACAGAAACAGCTATTTGGAAGCACAGATGAGCTGACTAGAGAAAGAAGGAAGCCATCCTTGGTTAGTAATGAATACTTGAATTATTTAATCATTTCCTTTTAAAGGAAAAACACTTCTGAGTCAAACCGTGTGCTCAGGCTGCCTGGCTGTGAATTCCATAATAGTCATGTGGAATTAAATCTTTCTGCTTTTCTTTTTAACTCCTGTAACAAGCAAAGCCAGGTTTTGAGCAAAACGTGCTGAAATTGAGGAGGTTTTTTTTTACCAGTCAAAGCAAGCGCATAAGCTCAAGGGCTGTTGATGTTCAGCTACCTCAGTCATTCTTGGGACACCTGAAATCATGGCAAAGCACTCTTTTACCATTGTAAATGGCAAACCGTGCTTATATTATTGAGAAGATCTGCAGGCTTTAAATTTCATGTATAAAGTGGGGGCCAGCTGCTAAAACCAGGGCTCCTCTTTTTGATTTTTACACTGAAGATATCCAGATCTTGGGAGTGCCACAAGTGTTAGTTGATTCAAATAAAAGCTAACACCTCGAGAGTGGGCAGAACATCAGTTCCTTTGTATAAACTGAGAACATCGGGAGGTTGTTGTCTCTGGACAGTCACTACACTGTTTCACTGTGTGGTTGATAGATGTCAGTGGCATCTTTCTGCAGAGCTGTTTTGTTTGCCTTCTCAAACTAGACAAAGTTGTGTTAATGATGTGGCCTTTTAGAAAGGTATGTGACATCCATCTCTGAGAGGTGGATGGTGCCATAGCTGGGCTACAGGAGGGTTTATGGCTGCATATTTTGGGGAGAAACGCAGTATGCAATTCTTTGTATTGCTGCCGGTACATCTTTCAGTTTTATGAACCAAGTATCTTCAAACAACTGTTCAAGGGTGTTGAGTGGGACACTGGAAGCATCACCATGGAATCTTGCCATATATTTAAAGCAATGATGTGATACTTTAAAATATGCACTCCCTTGACAGAGGGAAAAGATATTAATCACTCTTAGCAGTTTGGCAAGAATCTAAGACACACAGGAAACATGTTTCCCACAACCCAAACTGTCTTTTGATAATTTAACACCACCTTTTGTATCAAGAGAAAACCCACACGTCTAAATATATTACAGTACTGACTATAATATAAAGCTGTAGACGGTTTCAATGCAAAAGCTGTTTTGATTTTTAGAAGAAGATGCAATATGTCACTGAGTAAAGTGTGTTTGATTTGATGCATTTTCTTAAAATTAACCTTTCAGCCATGTTAAATTATGCACTATTGCTGCATGTCATGAAATAACATGACAACAACAATCAAAACATGGATGAAATTGTGCAGAATGCTCAAATTCCTAGGGGAAAATCTGAAATCTTTC